TTCGTAAAAAATTTTTTAAGATCAAGATAGTATGAATGGTATGAATGATGACCTTAAGGGGGTTATAGTGGTACAGTACGCGTTAAAAATTTGGTGTATCAAGATCCAAACTGATTGTACACTCTTGTCTTCCCGTAACAAAGAATTTCATCGCACATGCGCAATTCAAGTCTAGTAATCAGTTTAATTCGTTTTCATCAAATTTTTGGCAAAATGTGCTACTTTACATTACAACATCTCATAAACTATAAAGCTAGGACTTCTAAAGTTTGGAGCAATGCTTTTTTATATAGTCAGCTTCAACATATCAGTTTTTTACGAAAATCTATAGAAGATCAAACGAGTTCTATTATCTTTGGCAGTGAGCTCGCGATGACCTCCTCATAAGAGCCCGTGTACAACAAAAAAACTTCAAGATTTTTTTTCTCAAAAACTACAAAGATAGTTCTTCTAAAATTCTCATGTTATGTGTAATAAAATGGGTATCTCATAATTTTTTTTAAATATTCTGTAGAAAATGAAATATCACGATAACCCCCTTGACAAAGTTATTGCAACTATTTTTAATGAATTATCTTACATATTGAACAAAAAATTTTGAGTTTACTGAAAGGAACCGAACATACTTATTTCAGCATAGATTATGCAAAACATTAATGAAACCATCGCATACATGATAATATTGATATAAAATTCTTATGGACACTCTCAATAATATACATGGAGGCATATCATTACATGTTTGAAACTTAGATGAAATCGTTATATTATTACGAACACAAGTATGTTTAATGATTTATGCAATGGCACTAGACTTAACATAACTAAATTATTTGAATATAATAGTAAAGCAGAAATAACAACAGGAAAAAATCAGACAATAAAGTTTTAAGACCCATCAAAATTTTATAAAGTATGGGTAATAGTTTATCTTTACCGTTTCGATTAAACAAAAAATAATTTTTCGAGCTTCTTGATTTTTCTATAACATTTAATAAATCACATGGCCAAAGCTAAACTAAATAAGGATTTTACTTTTGAAGATCCTGACTTTCTTTCATTAAATTTTACGAATTTCTTTTAAAATATTAGAGAGGTAAGAATCCTAATAAAATAATACAGAATAAAGTCGAAAAGAATTTGGGTCACTTTGGCAAGCAAACTAGGTATTGCCTCGCTCCCCAGGGTATCCCTTTGGTTACCCTCGGATCGCACCATATGACAAACACGGTAAGCCTTCTGCCCTTATCTAGGGACCATTTTTCAGGAATTTCCAGAAATAGTAAACAAGGTAATAGGGTATTGCTACAGTGTAAGTGTGCTATTTCCCTATGTCACGTCCATCCCAGACCACAAGCTAGCTGCCTCACAAACTCCAGCCATGTGAGAGAGTACTAACTGGTATTCACTAATAGCGCACTCCGTACAGTTTTTTAGTGGACAGATTCCAGTGGNGCATTGTTTATTATTTTGATCATGTAGTCATGTACATTATGATAAATTTGCTTTTAACTACTGACATGATGATTGGTAAGGGGAAGCGGAGGGGAATCACTTTCAATTTCAGGGTATCTAAGAGTGGTGCGGGGAGATGTGTGAAAAGGGCTTCATTTTTGTAAAATATTTTTATTGGACAAATTTACAAATGGAATATTATAATTTTTTTAGTTTCAGGGGGACTAATGGAGAAACTTAAATAGTTAATGGGGGTCAAGGGAAGGTGAAAGAGGGTTGGTGACTGAATCTTGCCTTGGTACCTAATGAAATAAGATATGTATATGTATAGAATGTTTTAGGTCTCGTGAATGTTAGAAAGTTTTGTTTGTACAACCTTAATTATATTATCGATGTTTTTTCAGTCAACACAAAAATAATAAGAACTCATAGCTTTTTTTTGTTTTTTTTTCTTTAAGATTAGCACAACAGTTCATTGGCCTTATCACCTGGGCTGCCCACTTATCACCTTTGCATGAATTTTTTACCTATGAATTAACTGAAATCGTACTAATAATATCATGGGCACAGTGGAAACTTCTCAAGTGATACTCATTACTTTACACTAATAACTTGTCATTAAATCCAGCATTCTCTGCCATATCGATATATTAGGTACACTCTTAACTGTGTAGCTTTTTCCCGGAAAAAACTTCAAATTGTAGGTGTCTACTCCTCACTGGTAAAGACAATATTCTCTGCCAAAGCACTAGATCTAATAAAAAAATAACATTCTCGCCTTTGCACAGGTCTGAAGATCTAAAGGGCAAGGGAAATAAGCGGAACCATACTAAAAAAAAATTCCACGAAAAAATCCACCCTGAAAGAGCAGGGATTGGTTGAATGCTCTTTTCTGTTAAAAACCACTTTTTGGAATCTTATTTACTAGAAATCTAAGTCTCAAGCCCTAGGACATTGTTGTTTAAGTGCTAAGCATTCTTACTACTTCCTTAATACCTCTTTTATACATACCATTTATTTAAGTAATATTAACATAAACTCAATGATGATTATGTATCATGAGTGCTTCGTTCAACTAAGAATGTATTATGCAACTTCTAAGATACTTAATTCTTTTTAAAATCCACAAAAAATGAGATTACTGCCTGGCCTTAAATTTCTTCCTCTCATAAGCTGAATGTATGTGCAGGCGAATTTTAGCGGTGGCTTGGGAGTAGTCAAATCAAGTTAGACTTAGTAGCACTTTAACTAATGTGCTGTTTCACTCACAAACTTAAAGTTAACATCAGGATTTTGGCAGCTAATCTTGGGCTTGGCCTTTACCTGATTTAAATGTCTAATTGAGCTACTGTTTCTTATTATAGGTGCAAAGTATGGCAAGGCTTTTGCACCCTGGAACTACCCGCACTTAGCACCCTTAAAAACGTATGTACATAGACACCGTAATAACGTACCAACAGAACTAACGTGTTTTTCAGTATATTACCCACATTAAATGATAAGAATCACAGTTCAAACCTTTTTAAGCCATCAAGTCAAAACAATGGGTTGGGAACTTACACAACTTGATAATCTCAAAAGTACTTTGTGTACAAGTTCTCATGTCCAGCTAATGGAGTGGTATGAATGATACAGACAAAAATGGTAGTGAAATGCATGACTATCAATATTAAGTTACGTCAAAACTTACTTGTTATCCAGGATATGGTTCTTAGTAGGAAAATTTTATAATTTTTCGAAAACAGCTGATCTATAATCAACAAATTTCATTGGGATTGATGTATACAAGTTTAAATGTGCAAAAAAAGTGTAAATAAAGATGTTAATAAGCTAAGCTAAGCTAACTGTAAGATAAAGAAGCCTGTTATAGCACATTGAAAAAAATTGATTCCATTGTTAAAGTTCAGTCATTAGTTATTTGTAGAAGATTAAACAATGGAAACAAAATTAATTCAACATCCTTACAGAATTATCTTTCTATATTCGGAAAAATCATACGTGATTTTGAACATTATTACTTAAACAAAAAAAGAAAACATAACAAAGCTCTGTGCCATAATAGGAAAAAAGTACTACATAATCTCTAAAAAGCAACAATCCTATTATAAAACGTACAAGATGCATTCAAATAACATGTGTGTGATATAGTAGAAACTTTTTGTTTTATGAATCATAGCCCAATTTTCCAATAGGTTTCATAATAAGATATGATTTATTGCGTCAATATTTATTTACGAAATGAGTGTTTAACACCTATAACAATTTTATAGTGATATTTTTTTTAAATTTTGCCTAAAATTGTGCCATCATAGGCCACTTTACCTTATTACTCTCTTTAAAAACTTTTAAAATGTTTATAGTGCACATTGCAGTTGATTGATTCAACGGTACACGAACTGATTCCAATCAATAATTACTGATTTTTTTTTTGTCTTTTTTTAAGTTAATACATCTGTTGAAGGCTGAGAGATTAAAATTACGAAAATTATGAAAAAAATTTTAGTAATAAATATTTATTCACGTGAGTGAAAAATTCTCGTTGTAATGATAAAATTTGTAGTATCAACGACGTAAAATTTACTGAACTTTCTCAAAAATAACAGGAAAGATTAGTTATTTTTACATTATAAGTACAGTAATTTTTCTAGTAAACTGTTTGAAATTTAACATTCAATTAAATTATCATAACATAAATTCTCCCCTTTTTGGGTATCATATAATCAGTTTTGTACACAAAATAATAATATCTCCTAGACTTATCACAGAGTTCTAATAGCTTCGTATCCTAGTGTCCTAGTGCACCTGTAGTTATTTCTTGAGCCTTTCTTGATCAATTATTTATTATTTTCTTATTTATTAAACGTTGTAGGACAATTTTCGTTCTCTCAGTGACTAGTAAAATTACTTACCTTATGGCTTATCTGTTTTCTTTATAAATAGTCACTATAATGTTTGTAAAATATATGTTTTACGTATTATACCAGATTTTATATGAGTTTGAAATACTGTGTTTTGTGGGGATTTTTTTTTCAATTTTCAATAAAGGTACATTTATCAAAAAAAAAAAAAAAAANCTTCACAGGAGGTCTGAATATAGAAACTTCATTTTAAAAATTTGATGTACAACTATTATATTATTTATTGTATTTTTTATTTTCATAAAATTAATTGTTTTGTGACGAAGTTTATTTTATGTTTTATATAAAATTAAAACATTTTCGAAAATGTTTGACAATCTCAATTGAAATCATATGACTGTCATATTCTAGTTAATAAGTTTTTTATGCACATTTGAATAGCTAAACAAATACCTCATATTAAAATCATAATCATTGGCAAGATAACAAAAAACTAATAGTCTTGTATCGACCAAAAGTAAAACCTGGACTTCTTAGTACCAATTTTTAATTAGTACTTGTTTAAAAAATTTCGTATTCTTTCATTTTACTTTATTATATCTTTTATTTCGTGATTCACCTCATTTGAATTTTGAAAGCTATAAATATCTGCATGAATATTTTCATAATTACTTTTTCTGTACTCACATTATCAGTTATTGTTACTCCAGCTTTCCATAGTTGGTATCTCCAGTCGATGTTCATTATGCTTAAAAAGAATGAGGGTTAAAAAAAATAACTGTTTAATTTACATATGTATATAATACACTCTGAGACTTAATAAAAGTTAGTTTATGATATACTCTTGAAAAATTTGAAAAAAATAGTCTTAAACTATTGTGTTTTTTATAGTTATTGCATTGTTTATTTAAAAAAAACTGTAGAAGTCTAAAGTATGCTGTTCTATTTCCGAAAAGTGATGGATTGAAGTTGTTTTATGCGAACGATTGTTACTGCTGTTCAGAATATTCAGTTAAATTTAAAAATAAAAAAATTTTCAAATAATTTTGTGATTTATAAATATCTTTTAAATAACTTGCGTTTGGATCTCTTTACTACCAATTTTTTAAGATAAAAGTAACAAGTTACAGAAAAACTAGAAAAAGGCATTGTTAATTTATCGCCTCAAAAAAACTTTTTTTATCAAATGTATTATTTTAAGTAATCAAGACTGTTATTATCTATCTCTTCGAAATACATTTATCAGAAAATGTTCTGTTGTATTTTTCATACTTGCAAACAGTCCTAAGCAGCATGATTTTTTTTAACTTGTATGACACTTAAACGTTATCATTACCAGCTAAAGAGTAAATAAGTAGTTCACTTACAAATGCATTAGACCAGAACCTTCTTCTTCTTGAACAAATGACGTTTTCTCCATTCCCACAAGTGCACTAATCATTTCGTAGTCGTATGTATCGCTATACTTTTGTCGAACTTTCTTTTTTATAAATTTATCCCAATAGTTAACAGGAAATGTCTTAGCTGATATAGCTAATTTATCCCAATTGGCTTTAAAGTCATAATCACCTGGCTGTTCAACAATATAAAGACCATCAAACTCCACAGTGCGAGCAATTTCTTTTTCTCTTTTAAAAATAGCTAAAGGAACCTATAGGCATTTAGATAATTTTTTATACAAGAAAATGAGAAAAATAATTGCTTGCTGGGAAAAAAGTATTTTTTTTTTAATACCTTCAAGTGGTAGTATGCCACAAGCATAGCCAAGGATATTATGGAGTGCAAAACGGCCATGAATCTCATAATATATGCAATAAATATAAAATCCTTGGGCACTTCAACAAACTCTATTAAATCTTCCTCTTCTTGACCTCCGTCTTCACCACCACTATCAAAGTGTTTATGGGCTTCGTTACCAAATCCAGATCCATCACCTGAACTCTCCCCTGATATTTCATCGAGAAAACTATGCATCATCTCACTACCATCTTCATTATCTTCATTTAAGATAGTTACCTAAATAATAAGAGGTTGAATTAAAAACATTTTGATATATCTGTAAAGACAACAATTTTAATTTACTACGAAAGCAATTAAAACACTTAGAAAATCTCATTTCTTATTGTTTGTTTAATAAAAAATTGGTGACACGGAAATACAAATGTTGTACATACGATACATAAGAAGCCTTTTAATAATAAAGAATTTTTTATACAAATATTTAGTTTCTTTTAACGACAAAACATGTTTGCTGCTGCATGATAAAAAATTAACAGTTATTTTATATCAAATACATAACGAGAATTTCAAAGCGTGTTTCTTATGTGTAAAAAAGATTTGTTTCCTCATAGATACAAATTCCGTCTTACTTGATAGAAAAGCAGCATGAAATTTATACAAAAGGCAAGAATCAAGGCTGCATATTTGAGAGTATAAAAATTCCTAGCAAGGAATGAGACTAGTCGATGACCGTACTCGGAAAAATTGATTGATGAAGCTGCTGATGGTTCAGTAGAACATTCTTGCTTTGCTTCTGCCTCAACTGCTGCCATAGCAGCCTGTTGAGCAGCTACTGCTTCTGCAGCTGCCAATGCCTGTGCTCTGGCTTGCTCTCCTCTGTAATTTGTTTCTTAATGATTGTATAAATTTCTTAGAAGATAATAGTTATTTACGTAACAAGTGCGGAAAAGACGATTTCCTACACGAGTAGTGATTGACTCACACGAGTGGCCAGAGTTGACAGGAACGAGTACCAGTTGAGCACACGAGTGCGTAGCAAGAGTGTAATCGCAAGGTACGAGTTACCGTCACCGGCCACGAGTGCGAGTCTATCACATGAGTGCGGGAAATCGTCCCGCATGAGTTGCGTACAAGTTTTTTCGCAATGAGTGAGAAAAATAGGTACAAAATAGGTATGAATTTTGATTTCCAGCAAAATTTTTTCCGGTGTGTGGCAAAACCTTTTCCGCACACTGTGTGGCAAAAACCTTTGCCGCACACTTTTTCCACACACTGTGCGATAAAAACCTTTGCCACACACCTTTTCCACACACTGTGCGAAAAAACCTTTGCCGCACACCTCTGTCACACACTATGTCAGAAAATAGATTTTCCACACTAATGCTATTGCGGAAAACACCCATTTTTCGCACACTATTGCAAAAAAATACATTAAAGTTGAACAATTTGTCCAGACAAAACTGTTTTTGTAAAGATTAAATACCCGAGTAAGTCTGCCAAAGAAACCGGTAACTCTGAGTCTCCTGCCCCTTCAGCTTGCTTAGTTTCTTCACTAGTACCTTCTTCTGGAGTATTTTCTCCTCCTTCTTCGATACTTGACTGAGGGGTTAGTGAAATACACTCATGAGGAGCCAACTTGGTTTGGTCTTCTTCTTTTGTGATATCTGTTCCAAATGCTTGCACCTTAAGGTAACATTTGAAAAAAATTTATCATGATGATAAACTTTTTAAGTATTTAATTCTATTCTTTATCAAGACATTAATATAAGCCACCTGTAAGTTTGATTCATCTGGCGTAGGAGGCAAGGCTGGTAGATGTCGTGAAGTTTTAATATCATCCTCCTTGATTTCAACGATTGGTTCTTCAATACTTGGCCCTTTCATCATACTTAGTAACAATCTCATAATATAACCAATGATACAGCTTAATCCAAAACTTGAATAGTAAAAGGCATAAAATATAATTTTTAAAACGCCAAGACATAGATCGGGTATTGACATTTGTTGTATTTCGATGATTTTATTCTTCATATTACTTGGTGAAAACATAGACAAAAAAAAATAGATTCCATCTTTAAAGACTTGAATCTTACGTCTAATGGGATCTTTATGCTCCTCATCTTCATCGGTCATATATGTGTAAGATGACTCTTTTGCTTTTCCACCACTTCCACTTTCTTCGACAGCCATTAATGCACTAGCATGTTGCATCTCAAAAATTGCATCTTCGCAAAAATTTATAAAAGTCTCAAGTTTTTCTTTCTCGTCTGAATCCACAACAGTATTGTAAAAGTATGCTCGCTTTGATTCTTTGATCTATTATAATACAATCATCATACAATGAGAAATATTTAGAGCTGTAAGGTTCTACGTTAATAAATGATAATGTTGTAAGGTACATACTACAGTATTAAGAAAAATTTGTACCTATAGGCAGTGGTATTTTAAGCAATCAAGAAAACAATAGCAACAACTATTAGCAAATAATAGATCTTGCGATAATAAGTATAAGGACTTTTAATAACCTGGGATTTGTTAATCACTTTGTATTACAACAATCATTCGAAATTCTTCGACGTCGGAATTAAAAGTACGTTTACCATACATGTTTTATTTGAGAATAAAATTGATAAATATATTTAGTCACTCCACCTATGTTTTGCCCTTGCTGCATACATAACCCCCTTTTTATTATACGATTGTATTTCATTATAATTGGGCTTTTATGTTAAAAATTATTAAGTTACCTGAAATAATGATCCAAACGCAACTTTGCAGAAGTAATTTTTAGTAAAAAACAAACTAAAATAATGTTATTATGTGTTGTTTTATGCTATTGTAAATGATGATTCAAACTTAACTGTGATACAGTAACGTAAAGTTATAATAAAAATGAGGATTCGATTTTCTGATACTAATTAACACACTTTTTTTTACCATTACTTCTACAACAAAAAATCCTGTGACTTTTTTATGCATGTGCTAATCACTGCTTGGCAGATCACTGTATCTGACTATGAACTTGTTTTTTACTTTAAGGCTTGCATTATTCAACATGAAAATTTTCTAATTATCAGCGTTTTGTATAAGATACAGTAAATTTTTTAAACTTTACCTGTGGTTTCTCCCATTGTTCAATGTTGGACTCCTTAATTTCGAAGTAAACGCGTTCGATGCGTTTATTACCACCTAAAATTTCAATTCTACCCAGAAATTGTTCAAAATAGTTAAGTACTGAGCCAGCTGTTTCAAGAAAACGAGCCAGTCGTGGCTCATTCGGCATATGTTCCGAAAGATTCGTCAGTAAAACAGCTAGGTTGAAACCGATTTCTTTAGCAGGTTCATGAAAACGATCCATAAATGCAATGTAGTTAATTTTACCATCATGATTTGTTTCACAGCATGCCAGAAGAAATTCCATTTCTTCACTAGAAACAAAAATACAGTTTTTTTTCACGATACGTTATTACTTAAACTTAATGAAAAAGAAAGCTTTTTAAAAATCACGAATATCAGTAACATTAACGTACTTGCTGTAGTTTTTCGTCTGTTCCATTTTTTCTTTGAAATCTTTGGGATATATCCATCCATCATCAGCTTCTGCAAAAGCAGAAGATACCAAACTTTTGAGCTTTAAAAACATATCAAAATATTTTAAGATCAGTTCAACATTTCCTGCTGATTCAACTAATGTGTCTACCATCTGCTTTCCAATCGTTCCATTAACAACGTTTCCTGTAAGAAGTTTTTCGTAGCATATATAACACTTACATATAAAAAATGTTCAGATAAATAACTATCATTAATACAATGCACCTTCGAGCATAGACAGCATCATTGTTATCATATCCTTTTGAAGATTAAGTAACTCCTTTAACAAGTCAACTTGGCTTGAGTGTTTTGACAATTTATCTTGCATATGTGAAAAAAGAAAAAGAAAGCCACCAACAGCATCCCATAATCTTGAGTGTGCGAGGGCTTGTTGATTTTGTGCACAAGGGCCTTGAATGACTTCTGTTAATGTATTGAATACTTGACTGGCAACACCAATGGCCTTGAAAAAATTGGCTTTACCCGCGGGATCAATCAACTCTTTACTTGAGTAATGCCAATAAAAATCCATTATGGACTCCTGAAGGCGTAGAAGATAGTCGACAGTGCAAATAACTACATTAACAGTTGTAGTGTTACCTGCCTGAGTTCTCAAATAATTCTGCCAATCTAAAAATTATTGTTGTAATGTATTTTTTTTTTTTTTTACTGTAAAGTTAAACGTTTCTTATGACAAATACCTTAATTCTAAATATTATTCACCCGCTAAATATAAATCATTTCATAGAAAGGCCCTTATACAGTACTTTTTAGAAAAAAAATTGACATAAGAGTAATACACAATTTTTATCATAATTTGAGTAATTTTTTTTAATCAAATGGATGCTGTAGCACGAATGAATGTTATACTCAATGCATAACTAGATGCTTGAGTATAAAACAGATTGAAAAAGTATATCATACCAACTGATTACGGTAACGAGGTAAGATCGTACTAATTTTCAAAGTTTGTCGGTAATTTCATTCACAATGCAAATATTAAGTCTAGAATATTCAGTGGTTGTATCTAATATTGTAACCAGACAATGTTTTTCTATAATATAAACCTCGAAAAACAAGTTTTCGACTCTAAACTTTTTTACGTGCACATTTTTATTATTAATCTCTACAGAAAAGTGTAATGTTTAGTTACAGTTTCATTTACAGATAAAGACAAACGAAGCTAAAAATTTCTAATTATCTACACTGAAAGACCGGATTTTTTAATTTATGTTAACTATTAACATACACATTTTAAATTCCAAGCAACCAAAATCATCTTCAGAGCCAATATATAGAGTTTTGAATCAATCATGAGCGATCTTAATTTTAAACTTGGCACATTCCTATGTTAAGTTTAAAAGGTTTAAATACTTGTTCTATGTCCTTACTTTATGGAGTCATATATCTGTCAGCATCACGGGTTCTAGTACTGCTATGCACGTAAGAAATTGAGGTTACGATAATCTATGGCAGCATCAGCTGAAAATAAGTGCTGATACGTAACGTGTGAAGTATTGATAAATTTAAATGTTGATACGTTAACTATTGACATACGAGTGAATTGTACTCGTATACATATTGTTTTGATAACTATTTTCCTAATTTAGGAGTCAACATATATATTAACAGTCCATAGAAGATACTGTATCTGCACACATTCACGTTATTTTTGCAGCTAATATACAAATATGTTCCCTATACATAATCTGGTCCCTCAGTATGTTAGCAAAAAATTAATATCCCAAATTGTATATGGTAACCCTTTGATACATGATAATGAGATTATAAATAGAAACTTTTGCAAATGAAAGTGCATCACACTTGTGTTAAGACAATAACCTAATTCTGTGAAAGTTTTTTCGCCACATTTTTCATGAACAAAATGGTTCAATAATATATTACGCTCCTAGACATCTACATATTCAGATTGTCAGAATGCACAGTCATACGAAAAATTTTTAATAATTAAAAAAAACTATTAAGAGTAAATGAGCCAAAAAAATTGGTGATTGGAGTATATAAAAAGCTGGTGAACAGTAATAAGCTTTGTTTGGTGTTGTCAAGTATTCTTCAGAATAAGAAAAAAATAAACATGGATTTCAACTAGGTTAACACAACATTGATAAGTGCATCTACTTGCTTGTACTTCTGCGAAGCGACAAAACTTCAAGTACAACTTGCAATTGTCCATTTATCACAACATTATGTTCAATTAATATAAACACTAATCGCTGAAGAGGTCAACTTTTATACATTTATATAACATTTCCATGGGATAACTTGTGTTTCTTAGGTATAACAGAAGTGCTAGCATACACATACACTTACATGCTTATTGTGTGGACACACTTACAATCTGTGTTTTCATTTTTTCCAGTCTCGTAACGACAGTAAACAAAATTTTAAGCTGTAAAATTATATAATGTACACGAAACTTATTGCCTGCTTTAGTCAGTTTACTCATAATAATCTGTTATTTAATTAGATAAAAAATTTGCCCACAAGGCTCTGTGGAGTCTGGAGATCTTAGCGAGATATTATTTTTCTTACTCAATAGCAACATGTAAATAAGGCACATAAGTAGTAAATGAAAAGCTGACCTTGTACTAAACACCGAGGCAATACACCATTGTTTGTCCTATACACGAACGCAATAAAATACGATAACAGTGTGTAAGTGCGCATAGAATTATGGAAGATGCCCAGTGAGGTCTTTAATTTTGTAACGGTATCTACTTATCAACTTCCTTTGATAACTATATGGTGACGAAAGCTTATTACTCAATAAGTATAGAAAAATATGTAGGAGTCTTCTTGAATCCTTAGTATATGCACTATCGCCATTTGGGTGGAATTTATCTGTAAAGAAAATCTGTACGTTAAAACCAATTGTACCTGACGTATCAAATTTGATCACTGAAATTTGCTACGAATAAATCTTACTTTTAAGGAAAAAGGTGGTACGTGGTTAGTAAACTTGAGGTGGTTTCCCAGTAAATCCAAGTGTCTCACGAATTGAATAAAGTTGTGAGAAGTTGTTATTGCAGTCCCAATTTACCTATATTCAAAATTTCAGACCCACTTAGCCTGAAAAATTATCCGAAAATGCTAAATAATACTCATACGTATACGCCAGTCAAGCATAGAAATGAATTCTTACTGAAACCATATTAATATACTTTTTTTTCTTTTTTTTTATATTATAGTGCTCTACGTTCGGCTCCTATAAAAGGCACTATACAGGGCACTTAGCACTTTGGAGAAGGAAGGTAAGAGGGATGGGAGGCCCCTAACTACTGGGAGGGGGTAGGGGGAAATTAGGCAATTATGCTGCGAGAAGGTCACCTAAACCCTCCTCGAGGAGCATTGCGTGATAAAAAAGCACTATAAATATACTTAACTGTATTACTCTCACATCAGTAAAATAAAAATAACAGATTTGTAGCTAAAATCAGGAGCTTTCTCTTCATACTTGATAAGTGGGGGGTTAGCGTTGATTTTACTGAGATATTAAACGAAGATGTTGTTTACTATTTTGCCCCATGCTCAGCTTAGGAGGAAAGAGAGTTTCCACCTATATAGGTATAACGCATAGCATACATTACATTTCGTGCACATGTGCACAAAGAAGGTGCAAAGCCCATATGTACTGTATGTATTTGAGTACATCAAGTTACTACTACTGTAAACAAACCCACTGGCAAACCACCATAACAGAAAAAATTGTGTCGTAATAGCATCTTAGAACTCGTGTATCTAGTCTTATCATAGGAGATCGATTTTTTTATATTAAATAGGGACAGTTGATGAGTAGAATACTTCTGTAATTCAACTATGTACGTGTGTGTGTATGTGTGTGTGTATGTGTGTGTGCACGCGTATGTGAAGTATGTTTCTGTGCAGCTTAAAAAAAATGGTTTTATGATGATGTTTTTCGATTTGACTATGATTGGAGATTATGTACACAGATAGCACTCCACACATAACGTGACGAAAAAAGTTTTTGTAATGCTTATTGTACCTCTAAACTGTCATCCAGAACTTGTTTTCAATCGCTTAATACAAATCTGATGTATAAGATAACATAGATTGCTTCACGTATGGCCAAAGTCTTGCCATTTTTGTTAATAACTCATAACTAAACGCTTTTAGCTAAATACAGTTTCTAGAAAATTGTGTGCATATCACTAATACCATCGTTTAAATAGTGGGATTAAATTGGCTAAAATGTTGGTAACTTTACATGAAATTCAGACAAGCTTGAAAAAAAATAGTTGTGAAGAATTAAACATTGCCAGTCGCTTGTGATAAAATCAAACCAAAAATATTTTCCACTAAGGCTTAAAAAAAAAGTGGCAAAAATGATAAAACACGATTTTTAGTTTTGGAAATAAACAATAAGACTTAAAATTAAAAAAAAAAAAGAAACTGATGTATGCTTGGCAAAAAGACGTACAAAATAAGCTCTGGTCGATCTCAATTGATCCAGTGGTTTTCCTACAAATCGCAAAACACTTAGTTTTTTGAGCCAATATTAAAAACCAATAACTCTTTCTTGCAGTAACGTAAGAAGCTAAAATTTAGCAGAGTTTTAGCTTTAGTAGTCTTCAACAACCACACCATATTCTAGTAGGATCAAATCGCTAGTTTTTGCAAACTTCAGCTAAATGCAAAAAAAGTACTTTGGCAATACGGCCTAAAAAAAGTTGTTTACAACGTTAGATGCAATTTTTTTGTGAGACCGTATTCTTTAATACTTACTCTACAAGCTACTAAGATATCAAATTTTTTGGTTATGTGGAAGATTCCTTAATAATGATAAACCTAATGGGTATATTTTGGGCATCATGGTACATTGATTGAGGGATAATAAGCTGACGTAGCCGCCGATGCATAATCACGTATACTCCCTGAAGCTGGACTCTGATGTTATCGGCCGAATATGGTAAAACTGCTAGTGCTCTTAAAAAAAAACGATATTTTGAGAAAGAATAATAAGCTTGCACTTTGCAAAAAAATTTGATACTTTCGTTGCTTGTAGAATAAGTATCAAAAAATATGATCCCATAAAAAAAATGTCATCTAATGTTGTAAATAATTTTTTTTAGGCCAAATAGTCACAGTACCTTTTTTTTGCATTCAGCTGCAGTTTGAAAAAACTATTGATCCGATCTTTCTGAAATTTGGTGTGATTGTTAAAGACTTCTGAAGCTACAACTCTGCCAAATTTTAGCTCTTAATGTTTTTGCGGAAGAGAATTATTATTTGTTATATCGTGGCTCAAAAAACAAGACCTGTGTGTATGTGTGTGCATTATATTCTTGTGCAGCTTAGAAAAAAAATGTTAATTGTTTTATTTTCTGAGATAAAGAAAACATTTACAAACCTTTTAAAGAAGTGGATAGTAGCTACTCAGTCAACCGTACGAGGGTAAAAATAAAAACTTTGTCCTCACTTCATAATAGACTTGTGGGGTAGCACAGACGGACTCTAACCACTGAGTCTATTGTTCGAGGGGTGACTATTAAGTGCTTATTTTTTAGGCCTCCGGGCCTTTTTATTAGAAACACCAGACCTCAGTCACATGCTGGCTCGAAAATAACGCAGGAATGCTTGCTGGGCATTTT